ATAATCTTCCCCTTCCATACCATATTCATAACACGGGTGGCAACATTAGTTGGCTGTTGATTCTCAGATATGATATAGGGTATGGAAGGGGAAGATTATTGGTGGGTGATAGGAAGTGATATCTACTGATAAGATTCGATAAGGGTCGTTAGAAGGGGATTGCCACCATATTCATAACACGGGTGACTGCATTAGTTGGCTGTTGATTCTCAGATATGATATAGGGTATGGAAGGGGAAGATTATTGGTGGGTGATAGGAAGTGATATCTACTGATAAGATTCGATAAGGGTCGTTAGAAGGGGATCGCCACCACATTCATAACGCTGATGAAAGCATCAGTTAGGTATTCATTCCAAGAGATGATATAGGGTATGGAAGGGGAAGATTATTGGTGGGTGATAGGAAGTGATATCTACTGATAAGATTCGATAAGGGTCGTTAGAAGGGGATCGCCACCACATTCATAACGCTGATGAAAGCATCAGTTAGGTATTCATTCCAAGAGATGATATAGGGTATGGGACATGATTATCATTGGTGGGTGACACGAAGTGTCAGCACCTGATAAGATTCGATAACAGCCATTAGAAAGTTATGGTCACTGGGTGTTCACATCGCAGATCACAGCGTCAGTGAGGCGTTGGTTCTAGCAGGTGATATAGAAGGGGAGATGTGGACATCAGCCGTGGGTGGCTGGAAGAGATAACTGCCGATAGGGGCTGATAAGGAAAGTTGCAGTCGTCGTCGCTGTTCAAGGTGGTTCACGCTACCAAAACATAGAGATTTAGTGATGAGGACATTGATGACGGGTGACAGGTAATCTTATCAATCGATAAAAACCGATAAGATACCATCTGCGCTACATTTTGATCACTTCTTACCGCTATAATGCCGAGTATTAGAGGCTCAGTGGGTGAACTCATTTCTTCGATGTCAACGAATAATGGTCACCGAGGTGTTTGCTACTAGATACTTGAAATGCTGTCGAGCGGGGGGGGGGTATATAGCGCGGCTGAAACGGGAAAATCGAGAAAATCATCAATCGAAAAAATTTCGCGGTAGGAGCGGTCGCAATTCAAGCAGTATAAGGAAGGAAGTCAACAATTGGGAATGGTGACTGCTGTCGGTGTAACATTCGAGCTCTCCGACACACACTTTTACAGTTCAAGCAATGTTAAGTTCTCCTTTCTATTGCAACCCATAAGGTGAGCCGTGAAGCGGAAGGAGGAGCACCCGGCGGCAGCCGGGTGATCCGACTAGTGCAATACATAGACCTGTAGATATAGATAGAAAGTGTGGTCGATCAATACAGCGCTTGATTGTGGGTACTATACTCCCTTATATTCGTTCTCATCAGTAATTGAAAGTCCTGAAGAAAAAATTCTCAAATCAAAATTTTCCCGACTTTACTGTTTCAGGCGTATTACTTGGAAAGGTGTTATGAATTTCGTGACACACACACATATGTAGTAGGGTAGGATTGTGGGAGGAGTTCATTTTCTATTGTTATCAGGAAAGTGGTGGCTAAAGAAAAAGTTAGCCCACTGAGCAATACTCAGCAGTATAGTGGTCACAGATGTCGTGAGAATGTCCCCTTATCCTTTCTTATCAATTGATAAGATTGCCTGTCACCCGTCATCAATGTCCCTATCACTAAAACTCTATAATTTGGTAGTGTAAGGCTCCAGCACTTTGACTGAACAACAACGGCAACGTTCCTTATCAGCCCCTATCAGCTGTTATCACTTCCTGTCACCCGCCGTCGCCGTCCCCACCTCCCCCTTTATATCATTTGCTGAAATCAAGCCTAGCTGATGCTGTGTCCCGCGTTATGGATATGGTGACCTTCCCATTCTAACTTCCCTTATCAAATCTTATCAGCTGCCAGCAGTTCTTGCCACCCACCAATTCCTGTGCCATAGCCTATCACACCTCGGAACAAACGTCCCAGTGTTGCCGCGGCCCGCGCTATGGACTCGGTACCCCTCCCCTTCTGACGCCTCTTATCAGATCTTATCAGCCAATATCATTCCCTGTCACCCACCAATGATGTTCCTGTCCCACAGCCTATATCATATCTCGGAACTAACGTCCCACTGCTGCTGCGACCCGCACTATGGACTGGGTGACCATCCCCTTTGGACGCCCCTTATCAGATCTTATCAGCTGATAACACTTCCACCCACCAATGGTGTTCCCGTCACACCCCCTCCATCACTTCCTGGAACCAAAGTCTCACTGCTACTGGGACAGGTGTTATGAATTTCGTGACACACACACAGACCACTTAGCGGATTATATATAGTAGGATTTTTCTGATGGACGGCCGTGTTGAGTGCGCCCACTTTTCCCAATTTCTGCGGTGGGTTCTCCAGGTATCCTGTAGTTTTGGTTATCTTCTTCATTCTTATCAATCATATTGTGTTTAGCTTGGTCGGCAGTTCAGCAAAAAGATTACCAAAACTACAATACATTTGAAAAACCACCTCAGAAACAGGGGAAAAGCGAGCACTGAACACGGCCGTCCATCAGATAAATTTCAAGGTATATGAAAAATTTTAATGTGTCAGAGGCAAAAAAGCATATAGCGGACAAACATTAGGAAAGAATCAAGGAAAATACCGGCGAGAAGACGAAAAAATGCTAGAAGCTTTCGAAGGAAAAAGTAAGCGAATATGACTGTGGATCAGCATCTGTCCAGTCGATTTTTGCATTGGGGCGGGATCTAATCAGTCGCGCTACTCAATCGTACGCTAGCGCGAGCAACGAAATCATCCGATCGACGCAGTGATACGCTAGCGCAGTGATCACTCGGACGCGCCGCGGAAGCGCTGCCGTCGCGAAGTCTGAACGCTGCCTCACTTGACATGCATTCATCGTACCTGTCTCATAAAATGAATAGTGGTAAGAAATTTTAGTGCTGTATACATAACCATCGATGCTGGCTGTAAGGAGAAGACTGATACTCGCAACGAATACATGGTTCAGTACGATAGCGATAGCGAGCTAAAATGAGACACAGCCAGATAATTGTTTGTTGTGAGTCGCGCTATTTCACCCAGACTCAAAAACTCATTAGAAAAGAGGTATTCACTCTTATCACTTCACTCTCCTCGAGTCATTATGCAACTCTTCTCTCGTAACCTGCCCTTCAATGAGTTCAGAGGCAGTGTTCGCGATTCCTCGACCCACAGAAACTTTTCAATGCACATCACCGAAACTACTAAGGAGGCTGGGACTTTGCCACAGTGGGGCCTGTGTTCGTGCTGGTAGACTATTTGAAGTTTGGTTTCTATAGGTTGTTGTATATGGTGTAAGTCAAATTATGCCCTGATTCAGACAACAGTCCTCGTTTGGAAGTGCAGAAGACGTTATAACTTAGGAATGCCCCATTATACTCACCCCGTAACTGCCTCTTCTTCTCTCGCGCAATGTAGCAGCCGACATCAATCCCCAAGTGGCGATTCCGCTAGTACGCACAGACAGAGCCACTGCTTGGGCGTATGTCTGCAACGAGTGGAAATTTAATGAGTAGCATCGAGAATGTTAGTTGAACCCCTTTTACCGTCACCTGTAACCTGTTCAGGGCTTCAGGATCTGTGTGCAACCACAGCTTTTTTATTATAAGTTCAGGACCTGCCATTGACATAGCCATGGCCATGCTTACGCAAAGTATCACAATAATGGCAATGTCTGAAAAGCCTATTTTTGTTGAACGTTGTTGAATTTTACGGTTAGCTCGCTACTTGCAGGGTCATCAGTTCAAGGAAATCAATTCAGTTTCCACATGGGTGCACTCCGCCGCACCAGGATTGTGTTCGGTAGGGTTTGAATTTAAGAGAGCGGCGAGTGGTGGTCCATGGTCTGGTCTCAAAAAGTGCACCCCTTCCCTCTGTTAAATTGACTCGCGATTAGAATCTGTGCAGGTTCCTCTGCATTATAATTGTTATGTACTTACTATAGTTATGCACATAAAACAAAATCACGACAATCCAGTTCCTACCAGAGTAAATAGAGTGGCCGAAAATTGGGGTGAACGCAATCTAATACAACAGCTCAATGGGTTTGTCGCGAGCGTGCGCTCCGTAGCATTACTGTAAACCCGCCGTATTTGCAGATTGCTGCGCACGCCGCGTCGCATGGTTTTAGAGACAGTCCACTACCTCACTACTTCTCTGTTTTTGAACTTTATTACCTACGATGTGGAAAGTGTTCTTTACCCCTGAGGCTGTGTTCATTTTGCGGCAGCGACCATCAGCGACAGCGATTGCGAAAGTATAGATATCCTAGCGAACGGCAGCGTCTACCAGCGTCCACCAGCGATTACCAGTGCCTTGAGGAGCTGTAAAGTATGGATATCGATCTAGCGTCTACCACCGACCAAGAATACGGTCGTAGTAGCACGGTGTGGTTGCACACGCCACAATTTCACGAGGCCTAATCCAGCTGTCTCCTTCCTCTACATCCCATACTCTGCCAGCAGTCTGCTACCCTCCTACTTCCCCATACTCTCTACTCCTGGTCATGAGGTGGACGCTGGTAGACGCTAGATCGATATCCATACTTTTCTGGTCCCTCAAGACGCTGATGGTCGCTAGCGGACTCTGAGGGTCGCAGGTATACGCTGCAATATGCCACATCGTTCAATATACTTTCCTGGCCGCTGAAGGACGCTCGAAACGCTGGGGTCGGTGGTAGACGCTGGTGGACGCTGTCGCCAAGTATGAACGCAGCCTTACGGTGTGTATGGTGAGGTACCTTAATGTTTTTCTTGAGGCTTCAGCTAATAAAAACTTACACGCATATGCTAATGTGAGCTTCACGAAGCTGACGCCAGCCACTGCGATGCACGTATATATCGCAAACAAAGCCAAGTAGGAATAAAATCGCTGAAATACGAAACTTAGAGTTCTATAAGTTTGTACCCTAGCAGTAAAACCTTCGTACCGGAACATCGAAATCCCTATAGTAGGGTGCGGCGAACTCTCTAGAAATGTTCTCATGATATTTCATTGGCAAGTTCAACTCATATGATTACCTGTAGTATTGTTCTGCTGAAGATGTGATCGATGTAGTCATCTCCGGGCAGATCTGTGCTCTAAGTGTGCTGTTTAGCGGTTTCCTCGGCATCACCCTTCTTTTAACCTCAAGGCATCCGTTCAGAACGCTGTCGTAAAGCGATGAGCAGTTGAGAACGTCTAGAAAGTTGTTACCGATGTTCTTTTCCAACAATTTTGTTCCGCTCTTGGAAATGAATGAAATTTCGGGGTATGTTGGAGGCTCCATAGCTGGCCGGGTCGCACTGTTCCATGCGCATGTGAGGTAACCAGGTCCGCACCCGCAGTTTGTAGTCACGATCCTCAGAGGCTTGTTAATACCACCAGAGGGAAGCTTCTTCACGCCTCTCAAGCCGGAAGACGCCTCAGCGGGCCAGGTTCACTGAACCAGTTACGGAGGGCTCAGGTGTGAAACGGTGTGCCGAAAACCCACTACCTTTCTAATAACTCTGCTTACCAGGAAAGGTCATCAGGTCAGCCCGGCCATTTCCAATGAGCTGCACACCGTTGTACGCGTCTTGGGACGGTGAACTCAGAACTGTCTTCAAAATTTGCAGAACGATTCTCTGAACGGAGTTATGGAGGGTTTTATCCCCGCATGGTCGTTTCACGTGCTATCGCGAGGAAACGTTGAAGCGTCTTTACATTTACGTATGGAATTCTGAAACGTGGCAGCAGAGCGCAACGGATAGGGAGCGGGTTTCTTAGGCGAGGACGTCGTAGGATCGGTTCTGGGGCAGGTTCCTTTTTTGCATTTGTCCAAGAACATAGCCGACAAAGCTTCTAACA